GAGTGATGCCGACGTGGTCCCTGTCCCAGGTGGGGACTGAGTGATGCTGATGTGGTCCCTGTCCCAGGTGGGACTGAGTGATGCTGACGTGGTCCGTGTCCCAGGTGGGACTGAGTGATGCGGACGTGGTTCCTGTCCCAGGTGGGGACTGAGTGATGCTGACGTGGTCCCTGTCCCAGGTGGGGTGTCTGTTTGCTGAGATTCTCGTTACCCAGGTAGGGTCTGGGCCCGGTGATGCTGAAATGCTCCGTCACTCAGTTCAGGTCTGAGAGGGTCCCCAAGAGCTCAGGAGGCAGAGGGTGGCTGCACATTTGCAGGGAGACAGGATTAAACTCAGACCCTCTGCCCACCCAGAGCCCCCTCCCAAAAGCAGAAGACACGGTCACCGTGTTGCTACGTTGTATTATGTTAAGTTGTTTTTGAGATGGAGTTTCGCTCCGTGGCCCAGGCTGGAGAGCACTGGCTTGATCTCGGTTCACTGCAACCTCAGCCTCCTGGGTTCAAGCAATTCAGGGCCTCAGCCTCCCGAGTAGCTGGGATTGCCGGTGCCCGCCCTCACGCCCGGCTGATTTTTCCTTTTTTTAGTAGAGACAGAGTTTCACCATCTTGCCCAGGCTGGTCTTGAACTCCTGACCTCGTGATCCACCAACCTCAGCTTCCCAAAGTCTTGGGATGACAGACGTGAGCCACAGCACCCGGCCTCTTTTCTTTCTTTCATTTTTATTTTATTTATTTATTTTTGCTTCGAGATGGAGTCTCGCTCCGTTCCCCAGGAGGGAGTGCAATGGCGCGATCTCAGCTCACTGCAGCCTCCGCCTCCCGGGTTCAAGCGATTCTCCTGCCTCAGCGTCCCGAGTGTCTAGAATTACAGGCACCTGCCACCACGCCTGGTTATTTTTAGTATTCTTGTAGAGACGGGGTTTCTTCATGTTGGCCAGGCTGGTCTCGAACTCCTGACCTCGTGATCCACCCGCCTCGGCTTCCCACAGTGCTGGGATTACAGGCATGAGCCACTGCACCTGACTCACCTTTTAATGTTAATAATTTTGCCACTGCTGGCGAGGCATGGAGGTTCATGTCTGTCATCCCAGCAATCGGGGAGGCCGAGGCGGGCGGATCACCTGAGGTCAGGAGTTCGAGACCAGCCTGACCGACACGGTGAAACCCCGTCTCTATTAAAAATAGAAAAATTAGCCGGGCGTGGTGGCAGGTGCCGGTATTCCCAGGTTCTCGGGAGGTTGAGGCAGGAGAATCCCTTGAACCCCGGAAGTGGAGGTTTCAGTGAGCCGCGATGGTGCCGTTGCACCCCAGCCTGGGTGACGGAGCAAGACTCTGCCTCAAGAAAGAACAAAATAAAGAAATGATTTTGCCTTCTTCATGCTTCTGTGTGGAGGGATACGGCCAGCTCCTTTTTGTGCATTTGTGTCTCTGTCCTGAGTGTTTCTTGGTAAACGTTCCCACCTTCCCCACCCCCAACCCCAACCCCAACGCTGACCCCACCACCCCCATCCCAGCACCTTGGGGGTCTGAGGCAAATGGATCACAAGGTCAGGAGTTCAAGACCATCCTGGCCAATATGATGAAACCCTGCCTCTACTAAAAATACAGAAAAAAAAAAAAAAAATGAGCCGGCCGTGATGGTGAGCGGCTGTCGTCCCAGCTCATTGGGAGGCTGAGGCAGAAGAATCACTTGAACCCGGGAGGCGGAGGCTGCAGTGAGCCGAGATCCCGTCACTGCACTCCAGCCTGGGTGACAGAGCGAGACCCCGTCTCCGAAAAAAAAAAAAAAATTAATTGGGCCGGGCGCGGCGGCTCTACCTATAATCCCAGCACTTTGGGAGGCCGGGGCGGGTTGATCACCTGAGGTCAGGAGTTCGAGACCAGCATGACCAACACGGTGAAACCCCGTCTCTATTAAAAATATGAAAATTAGCCAGGCGTGGTGGTGGGCGCCTGTCATCCCAGCTACTCGGGAGGCTGAGGCAGGAGAATCGCCCACAGGTGCTGGACGTCACGGAGCAGCTGGACGCCGGCGTGCGTTACTTAGACCTGCGGATCGCGCACATGCTGGACGGGTCTGAGAAGAACCTGCACTTCGTTCACATGGTCTACACCACGGCGCTGGTGGAGGTACGGCCGGGCCGGGGGGACGCACGGGGGGTGCTCAGGAGGCGGCCGGCCTCCTGTGGGGAATGAGACGGCCGTAGGGACGGGAGGTTCCCGACCTTTAGTGGGGTGACCGTGTCAGCGGCAGGGCCGGACGAGACCCCGAGACGCTGACACCTGCTGATCTCTTAGGAGCACATTTTTTTTTTCTTTCGCGGATGGGGTCTCGCTCTGTGGCCCAGGCTGGAGTGCAGTGGTGCGATCTCAGCTCACTGCAACCTCCACCTCCCGGGTTCAAGCGATTCTCCTGCCTCAGCCTCCCGAGTAGCTGGGACGACAGGCGCCCCCTCACCACGCCCGGGTAGTTTTCGTATTTTTAGTAGAGACGGGGTTTCGCTATATTGGCCAGGATGGTCTTGAACTCCTGACCTCGGGCAATCCGACCGCCTCAGCCTCCCAGAGTGCTGGGATCACAGGCGTGAGCCACCTCACCGCGGCTTTTCCCTTCTTTCTGCCACTGTGAATGCACCTGATCTGATCTGAAGCAGAGTTAAGCCTGGTTAATACTTAGATGGGACCTCATCTGGGAAAACCTGGGTGATTTCTATTCTATTCT